CTCACATCATAACTTAAAAAACCCTTTTGTCATGGGAGTCTGATGTTCCCTTTTCTTCGGGATTTCGTTACATTTCACTCTGTGGGTGATCTAGAAAGACCCAAAAGTAAATGTTGGGTCTTGTCTAATAACCTGCAAAATAAAAAAAACATTCAGTGAGAATTTTTATTAAGATTATATGAGCCCTACAGAATCAGATACTAAAGGGAGATCATTTAATTCACTCTTGTCTCATTAGGCTGTGCGTGCATATACAAACCAAAATGTCTGTAATGAAGTTACGGCAAAACTGTCCCCTTTGCAATTGCTTTATACTTAGACATTAGTGCTCTTCTGATAGATGTTAGGAGCTATTAGTTTTAGACATTAGTAGCTATTCTGGATTAGAATGGTCTGAAGAATATCGTGCCCTTATAAGGGGGCAAGTAGAGGAAAATGTGGTTCTGTAGTCAGATTGATTTTGCAGTAGTAAATAATGGGACTGCTATATGTTTATGTGTATTTGGTATGATCCTTAGGAACCTTATGGACCTTGCCCCAGCATTTAAATAAACTTGCAGATGCTTCCCTTGATTTTTTTTCTATTATCAATCTGAAAATCTATTGTTTATCTCTCTGCAATCTAGAGCAGCCTTTTGGTATGAACAGATCTGATAGTGTTCCTTAAATCTTTTTTTCTTAAAAAACAGAGCAAAGATAATCCTTCTGTTTTAAAGCCTTAGCCTGATGATTCTCTGTCCATAAACAGCACTTTTTATAATCCTTTTAAACATGAACATATTTTAAAGGGCAATAAATGCTTCCATGTCAAACTTGTTTTCTTCCCACTGAAACAAATGAGTAGTAACCGTATCTTATATGTTTGTTCAGCTGCTGTTACTCATGATGCACTTTTTCAAGGCTTGGGTGTTGTGTTGTGTTGTGTTTTGTTTTTATGTAGGTAATGGTAATCCATTTTAAAGATGAAAATAAACGCATTGGTTGTGCTAAAATCTACTTTCGCCATTTAGCTTTTGTTGAAATCTTTCTAATCTGCTGCTTTCATCATAGAACTTAAATAACTGAGTGATGGCTTTAGTGTTAGTTGAATATAGCAGGTCCTTCAGAATTAACTGAAGGCCTCCCTCCCCACCCCAGCATAAATATATGCCTTTTGTTAAACAAGATAAGTTGCCCAGTGCTACTGAAAAACACGCTGACTTCTGCAGGCTATTTTGAAAAGCTCTCTGTGAATCATTTTTCTTAATCTAATGTTACTATTGGCTACTGTTGGTCAAATCTCTACGTATATGTGGGAGCAAAATTGAGTTTTGCCATATCATCCCTTCTTCATTTCATGCAAAAATAAACAGACGACTGAAGGATACAGATGAATTCCCAAATGTGTCTGCTGTTCTGTTTGAACATCTGTGTGACCAACAGTCTTGCATTTATTATAGTGACATCTGTTTTAGTTGATATTTTCCTGTTTTAGTAAATCTTTAAGTGGATGTTTTCTTTTTCTACATTTTGAGAAAGATTTACCTAGCAGATAACTTTTTTTTTATTTTCCTATGAATAGAATATCTGTTTTCTAACAGTACGGACAGATAGCCACCGCTATTGCTTCTGTTGAAAAGCGTCTCTTCTGACGGAGAGCTTACCTGTCCTTCTGTGATCTGAATCTGATCTGCTTTCAGTGGATGGTCCAGAGGTCCAAAACTGTTAGTTTAGTTGCTGAGAAGGCCTTTTCCAGATCTCAAGGATCTCCCCTAAGTGTGTCATTTATATTCTACTGTGCGAATTGCCTGTGGCCAAGGATGGCTTCCACAGGCACCAGGGGACTGTGCCGGCCTCTGTGCCACACTGGGCATCTCTGCAATGGAGCCACAGAGATGCTGCTCCTTTCTCTGCCCCTTCCCACTTCAGTGCTGGGGGCATACTGTCTGTCTAAGATTAACAGGGGAAAAGAGCTTCTTCTAGTCTTGCGATTTGGAAATCGAAGAGATTGGCCTAGTAAGAGAATTATCTGGAATCTCTAAAATTAAGCCTATGGTTTAAGCCTATAGAGTTTGAAGGTGACTCATAGAGTCAATGCGCTGCTACTAGATATTAGTAGGGAAGTGAAGGCTTCAGTTAACTTCCACCCTCTGTCACAGCAGTAGGTGAGTCATGTGACTGTATAGATTTGCTTTCCTGGTGAGAGTTAAAGATACTGGTTTTCACAACTCTCTCCATCCCAAATCTCAGAATCTGTCTCTTGTGGAACAAGCAGATATGTTGGCTATCAGGAGCCTTGGAGCTGCCTGTCTACCAATTCAGATGCTCTTCTACGCATGCAACACCTTCATTTCGTACTGAAAAGTTCTGTGAGTGGATGTATGTATGAGTACCTATGCTTGCTTCTTAGAGTCCACCCATTTGATTTAAGGAAATGCTAGTGCCTAAGCAAAATGTTTTATTGATGACCCACATCATGGCTCAGTTTTCTGGTTCGTTTTTGATAACGCAAGCAACTGGTCTTAATCTGGGCATTCTTATTGCAATTTTAAGGGCTGCTTGGTTTTCTGCTTCTTTGAAGAAAATGAGGCCTTCCAGTTTAAGTGAGATGCAGACTTTTTGTTTTTGTTTTCTATTTTTGGTGCATGACTGTTCACAAACTCTAATTTTATAAAGCCTGTCATATATAGCCTAAATTTAGGAAGTTTTCATATTTTTAACTAAGAAGTTAGTTGTATGGGAGTCAGATTTCCCCAATTAGAGCAATGCTTTGCTAAGCGATAAAAATTAAAGCACTATATTTCAGTTCATTATAGCTCACCAGTAATGTATACTTCATTTGTTATATGTTTCTTATACAGAAGGTCAGCATTATCTGAAATTAATGTCTAAATTTAGACTACTAATTCCATATATATTTTCAAACACTTTTTCTTTTTTTCTAGGCAAATTGACTGTTGGGTTCAGGCTTTAGGTACCAATTAAATAACCCATTCTAATAAATAATGAATACAAAAGTTTTGAAATCTGTGGAAGAGAACAGCTTTCATTGCTGGTAAATAAAAGCCTCACCATCAAAGACCTAAAGACCATAGATTCGGGGTTATAATTACAAGATTTAAAAGCGAATGAGAAGATCTCAAGGCAAACATCCCACAATATGGCCCTCAACACTAGTTTAGGGAGCTGATGGTGAATACTTTCTCCTCTCTCCCTAGCTTCCCTTGCCATTCAGTGCATATGTAACACTGAGAGTTCCCAGCTCAACTCCTATCATGTAAAGTTGCCATGAGTTCACATTAAACTCCCATCCTTGCTGCTGTTCACTTAGGTGAACAAATACATAACTCAAAGAATCTTTTCAGATTTTTAATATTCGTCATATCCAATGAGCAATTTGATTACAATTCTGAGCCTTTAGGGACATCTGAGGGGAGGCAAGGAATTTCATGGCATCAATTTTGAAGCCTGCCTGTGATAGCTGAAAACAGAGTAGTCCCTGAGTTCTACATATATACAAATACAACTACTACTAAGTAGCTATATAAATTTAAACTTACATAACTTCATGCAAATGCGAGAAACTTTAGATGGACCCTTTGTGTAACACTCGATGGCATCATGATCTCACATTCTCAATATTCTTTCTTCTTGTAATGTGGAAATGTGCCAATCTGAAATGAAAAAAAAAAAAACCACAACATGCAAGAACATCCCATTGGAATTACAGAAAAGAAAAACAGCTTTCAGGAAAATACTTAAAATACATCTGTCCTTTAAACCTTGTTACTGCTTGTATGCCTTTTTTTTTTTTTTTCATGGAACATACCTACTCTTACTCATCACTAAAACAAGTTGAGAACTAGACCAGCAACAGGACAAAGGGTGATGGGTACAAATTGAAACATTGAGGAAGTTCCACCTCCATGTGAGGAAGAACTTCTTTACTGTGAGCGTGACAGAGCACTGGAACAGGCTTCCCAGAGAGGTTGTAGAGTCTCCTTCTCTGGAGATCTTCAAAGCCTGCCCGGAGGCAGCCCTGTATCATGTGCTCTAGGTGTCCGTGCTTGAGCAGGGGGATTAGACTAGATGATCTCTAGAGGTTCCTTCCAACCTCAACCATTCTGTGATTCTGTGAATTGCAACTGAACAAGAAGTCCCAAAACAGAAAATATTTTCTGAATTTCCTATGACTCCATTGGTTTGGGGAGGAAAAAGCATAAGGGGGAGGGAGCGGAGGCAGACAATGTAGCCGCCTTTTTGGATTAATATAGTTTTCTTTTTACTTACGAGGTTTGTACGTTATGGAGGCTTCATGTGTTACTTACTTTTTTTTTTTCTTCCAGACTGACCACTGAACCAAAGCCTGCATTGACAACACTAATGATTCTTTACTTAAATAGTTCATGTACTGGCATCCAATACCTAAAATAATGCTGTTTGCAAATAGCCCTGAACTTGTTTAGTCCTTCTGTTACTTCTAACTTAATGTTTCATCCCATTCTATTTTCCAGTTCAGCTGTGTAACAGAAATGTTTTATTTGTGTTAATTTAAAAGTGTGATACCATGTGCCAGCTTAATTGAGCGTGCACTGTGCTGTAAGTCATATGAACTGCACGCTGGTATTGTCATGAGTGCTTTCCATTAAGGTCTGTGCGGGTAGTGGTGCTGCACCAGTAAAGCTGAGCTCCAGAAAAAAATGGTGAAACGAATTTTGGTGTCTTAAAAATTAATAATAAAAAATGTAAACAGGGAGATGGTGCAACAAATTTTGGTGTCTTAAAAATTAATAATAAAAAATGTAAATAGGGAGGTGGTAAAATTCGGGTATCAGTCACCCGTATGCCAGCCTACTGGGAAGATGTAGATGGCTGTTTGTCTACTGTTGGAGCTCCCTTCTTCTTGCCCTCCACGTCTAGCTTCACTGAGTTGTTTTCTTTTCTGATGACTCACGTCGTTTTCTCTTCCACCTTCTCTCTTTCCATCCCGCTGTGTGCCTCTTTCCTTGATTTGACCTCAGAGCGGAGGAAGAGTCTGAAGAACAGGAAGAAGAGCAGCCAGTTACAGAGCCCAATACTGAGGATGAGGGGGAGGAAGAGGCCGGTAGGCAGGTCAAAGCCAGGTACCAGGACTTGGTATCGTCCCTGCATCTTTCCTTGGCTCTGTAGATCCTGGCATTAACTTACCACCCCTTTTAACTCACATTCCCAGCTTTCTGTTTAAGCCACCCTCCAGGAAATTTATTTGATCTGCTATTGTGTGTGTGCTAATAGGAACACATTTAAGTGTATCTGTTCAGTGCACAAAGAACTATTTGCCTTCACTCATTCTTGATTATTTTGGTACAAAATGAGTAACAGACACAAATTGTAAAGACACTTAGCAGAGACCCTAACTTTTTCTGAAGCATGGCTTAGGCTTATCTTTTTAGCTAGAGTGATGCTGAAATGTCACAATGCTTTGTTGAGCTAGGCTGTTGCTTGGTTTCTTAGGTTTTCTTTGTTCATCTCTGATTTCATTTCATCTCTGTTTTTATTCTATAACCTCGTTAACAATATCTGTCGATTTGGAGAAGATTGCCATTTTTTGAATATTGCCTCTGATTTATTTTGATTTTTTTTTTTAATAAGCAAGCACTACCTAGAGGTAAAGCCAAGTGATAGACATACATCATTTCCTACATCTATGCATGTGTGTGTATAGATGGGTATAAAAAAACAGCTATCAAAACTATTCTCATGTAAAATTTTCCACTTATTTCTGAGGAATATATGGATTTGGCATCTGGCAACTTTATCGTAATAAATTGGGGAAAAAAGGAAATATGATCTTCTTTCCAGACAGCCATTTAATTTAAGTTAAATTGTTTGGCTTTGCAACTCGGCAAATGAGATGGATTGGATTTTTTTTTAACCAACCACATTCATGCAGACACTATACAGCATGGAAGGAAGAAAGGAAACTGTTTAATGTGCAAATTCCAAAGAAAACACTGTACTGTTGTTATTAATATCTTCCAGTCTGAAAATCTAGCCAAAGGTTGCCTGAAATTTCAAAATTAAATGATAATTTCCTCAAATCCAAAAGCTTAAAAGTCAAAGCTAAGACAGTAAATCAGATGAATATACTAAATACGGTGAAAAGCAGAGTTTAAAAGCCATATACAGGGCGTAATGTGCTTATAGGCCACCATTCTTTTAAAAGTATAGTCACTGTGAGGTGGTGGATACTCAGATGACTTTCCTAAATATCTTCTTTCACTGTCACTGGAGTATAACAGAAATGGTAGGTAGTCTTGCATTTATTCTAAATCCTGTCAGGCAGGATAGGAATAGTCTGGCTTTAGTGATTGTTGTCATGCACATCTGGAAAAAATTGATGAAGTTTTTCAGCTTGTCCTATGCCTTTCCATTCTGAGTGTATATACACCTGATGATTAACTTCGTTATGTCCTATGTATAATCCTGTATATCCTATTGAATAATATACTATTTGACTCTATGGCAATCCCAAGAGAAGGTCCAGTTGCTTACACACTGTGTGGGTGGAGGCAGGGATGGTGCCGTCACCTGCTGAAAGACGCAGCTCAGCGCCCATGGCAGTGCTTATGCTCAAGGTGGTGGACGTAGCCGGGAGTTCATACCCCATGGCTTTTCACCTGTCCTGCTCTTCCTCCTGTTGTCATTCAACAACACATACTTACATTAGAGCAAGACAGGCACATTTTCCACTGCACTAATTGTACAGGTAGCTCTAGTGGTGTTCATCTAACACCAGCACAATGATCGAATGGGATGAAGACTCTCAGATAAATTAGTAACTTCATACCTAAGCAAACAACTTGGTAAGATGTTGTTTTGAAATGAGCTTTAAGCTTTAATTTTGACTGAAGAATGCTGATTTGGCAGTTTTCATTTTCATCTTTGGTGGATGAGTGTTTCTGGGTTTTTAGTATCAAATATCAAATTGATAGATTATAATACCTAGGGAAGATTATAATAAGACATCTGGCCTTCAGCTGTCCTCAGACAGTGTATTAAGATACTGTTCTGTATGCCAGATCATCCAGAGTGTTGAGACTACTCGTGCTTCCCAAATAACAGACTGCATGAAGATAGTGCAGAAAATTAATGTGAAGAAGTTCATGAAAATAAAGCTCCAATCAAAATTCAAACTCAAAGTTCTCAAAGTCGGTCGATTAAATCCCTTGCATTTCTTTTGGCTGAATCCCTCCCTTCTCCCAGCTTTTCTGACCACAAGAAGAATCCTACCAGGGCACAAAGATTTGAGAGTTGTTAATTTAAAAAAAAAATGAAGAAAAAGAAGGAAAAAAAATAGATTATTTACATTTATGGACTTTTTGTTTGACTCTCCAAGCCTTTTTGTTTTCCCAAACACTATAATCTACTGATCTCCCTTTTCCCCATTTCTCTCTGCCTCTCTTTTCCCTTCCTCGCAACATTTTCCTCCTGCAGTGAGGTCCCAGGTGCCCACGAGTTTACGAATAAGAACCTTTCACAGTACTCTGATGCTTCAACCATCTCAAGTGCAATTTCTCCACCTAAGAGGCCTCTACCCTGCTCTAGAGCAAAGAGCTCTTCCAGCAGCTCCTCTACTGTGCCTGATTCATCTGTCTCCCACCAAAACTCTGTTTATTCATCACCATCTTCACCTGCGGGAGTTTTGCTAAACTCTTCCCAAAATTCATCAGCATCCATTACCCCAAAGGCATCTCCGATGGTAGAGAAGCTACCGTATGTACCACACACTCCTTTTCACCTCTTCTCATATGACTTTGAAGAAACTCCAGCATCTCTGAAAGAAAAGGAAACAGATGTGATAAGGGAAAACAGGTAGATTTTATGCAGCTGACATTAATTTTTAGATAAATGAATAACACCTTTTGAGAGTTTTATAGTGGTAATAAAGTGCTTACTGTGTTATATTATTTCCAGAACATACTGTATTTGTTTTAGTCATGTAAGCCTACATTTTTATTTAATTGATATTCTCCCATTGCCTTTGTTGCCTTTATTTCATCTTACTCCTCCTCAAGGTCTACAGTTAATAAGTAACCTGGCCTCCTCTGTATAGCAGTAGATAAACAATGTGTGATTTGGAAGGTCATGTGTAGAAATATTATTCTCAGTTACAACAATGTAATTTGCAGTCATGATTTCTTAAAAATTAATGGAGTTGTTCTGATGCAGAACTGTGAGAGATCAGATCAGCACATGGAATTCAAAGGTGAAATCCTGGCTTCAGAGGCTGAATTGCCAGATCTCGAATTTGCTGTTAAATTATGCTGCATATCCCTGATAGATGTTAGTTCAACTTGTGCTGGTAACAATGATTTAAATTAAACCTTACAAAGCACATACAGCACTTGAAATATGCAGGCTTCCCTCTACAATGTATGGTCATATTTGTCTGCTCATACATTTGATTTTTAATTCTAATTTTGAATTTTCCTGTCCTAGCCATTTGCAAACATGTAAAGCTTTTTGTTTTATCTCAATCTGTTTTGTAATAAGACAGACAACAATAGATAAAACAGAAAGTAATGCTAGAGAATCACTTTAAAAAGATGATGGTTTTTAGCTTCCTTTCCTGATGGTCAGTGTTTGATGTTATAAATCTACACATGCATTATGAGCATATTTATTTCTTCCTTTCTCCAGCAGTCCTTCTGAATTTTTGCATGTGAAAAAAATATTTTGATTCCTTTGATCCTTTTAATTTTCAATCTTTCTCTTCTGATAAGTGGGTGTTTATTTTCTGCTGTTTTTTGATTTCTCTGAGAAGCATCTTAATTCAAATAATTGTTGAAAAAGGACTTAGTTTAGATATCTTTCTTTGAACTCTGAGATCCCTCCAAATTTACATTTTCCTGCATATTTGCTATTTTCCCTTAGGCCTTTCCCACTCCTTTACCTCCATCTCCATTACTTCTACTGTTACTGTTACAGCTTTTAGAAAGAATATATAAGTAAATGGTCAAATAACTCCCTTTCCCTGCAGAATTTAGTATTTCTGCGGTGATTTTTTTTTCCTCTGACTATCCTTGTGCTTTTCTTTATCATATAGGATGGAAGGTGTGATGTCAGAGAGTATTGGGTTTATTTGGAAAAAAAAGGAGGGTAAAGCTTGGGTGAGTTGGGCAGCAATGTATAAAAAAAAAAAAAAAAAAAGGCATGAATAGCTTCAGAGGGATCTGATTTCTGCAAAGGGAAGGTTTCTGGGACAAGGCCAGCATAGCTTGCATTGGTACATCCGACATGATGGGAAAATGGCAGTGATAGCAACCACCAGAAGAAGGTCAGAGAGAAAAATATGGTTTATAGGATACAGAGTTAAGCTGATGCACAGGTTTTGACTTTTCTACTGTCTGAGCTTCTCTTTTGCCCTCTAATTTGATTTTGAGGGATGCCACACCCATGCAAGTCCCTCTAAATTTAATTTTGTTCATATTTCATTACTCTGAGCCTATAGAAGGTATGTTGCCCCATTTTTAATTGTTGGTATCTTAGCCTTGACCTCATGGGAATCCCCTGGTCTGAAACAACATTCTGCATTCTGTCAGATTTTTCATGGTTCAGAGAAAGGGAAAAGGAAACATAATTGACAAGAGGGTTTCTGTATAAAGCATGATTCCTTCCTCTACACACACACATATATGTGTAACCCAGAAACATATACGTGCGTGCGTATAACTCCTAACTGAAAATTATTCTGATTTTAACACTGGCCTTGGCAGTCAGCAATGCTATTGTACCCTAAGGAATGAAGCCTGAAATTTGAATGAAATTTTGCATGACTAAATGAATATATTAAATGGAACTCAAGGAAAACGAACATCATTTTCAAACAAAATTGTTGAGTGAAGAGAAATTTAGTATTGATGCATGTGGGAGAAGAAGGATAAGATAAAGGAGGAGTTTATTGTACAGTATAATTTATAATAAGGAAAAAGAAGTTTTCTTTTTTTTTCTGAATTGACTTTTGTCATTTGGATGAATTGGCAGAGCAGCGTACGCTTTGCAGGCAGGAAAATGGTATTTTTCTGTGAAAAGAAATGTTAAGATTTTTCAATATCAGGTATCTTTATGTCTCCTTGACAAGCCATTAAAAGGTGATGACTAAAAGGCCCAGCAAAGCAATACCATTGCCTTTTCTATTCACGAGGGTCAAGATGAAAAAATTGCTACAAGAGACCCTGGAGAGGCGGCCCATTCTGAGAGTTCTGGAAGCAATTTCTCTTTGATTAGCAAACTCACATTGAAGTAATGTCTTTTTTGTTGTTGTTTTTTGCTTTTTGCTTTTTTAATAGAGCAAATGGCTAGTAGAAATTCCTAAAGCCATGGTTCTGGAGACATGTCTTTTTAACCACAGAGATGACTTTTTACAGACATTCTATGGTACAGCACATAAGCTATAACATATGTTGGAGGAGGGGAAAGCAAATATATACTGCCCACTTTAATTGAAAAGAATGTGGATGCTTTTCATTAGTAATGCAAACATTCACAAATTGTGCACGCCTGTGTTCAGATGATGCCTGCGGAGTGCTGCCCTTTTCCTTAATTTCACTGGGAATACATACTGCTGACATGTATTGTTTTCAGTCCCTTTTATCAGCTCCCAAACCAGTGAATAAATTTGAGTAAACAAGCCGTGATTTAAGTATCCCAACTCAAAGCAGTCGCTTAAGAGGACCATTCTAATCTCTCATTAATCTCCATACCAATAGCTTAGTATTCAAAGTAAGTATTTCCATGGCATGCCTTATCTTAGAAGGAGATGATGGGTTCCTTGTCTTGAAGCTGGGTTAAGAGAAAAATTTTCAGAAGTTGGATGTCTCGAAGTTCCGGGCTTTGGCAGCATTGGCAGCATTCCCACCCCCTGAACATGCCTGCTCTCTGACTATTTCTTGTCTCTCTTTCTGCCTCGCCCTTTCTGCTGTTTTTTTCTCACCTCTCCAGGTACAATAGCTGTGGCAGCAGCTCTTACTCTTCTCCACGACCTTACTCTGGACCGAGTGCCCCTACAACACCCACTCCTCGTTATGGGACAACTCTGTTGCCACCTCAGGAGACCAACTCAGACAGGTTTGTGTTTTAATCAGCATTTTGACATAGTTGCTTTGGACAGAGGGTAAAGGAAAAGTAGCTCTGAATCATTATTAGGAATATCTTCAAATGATGGGAAGAGAATGCACAAAAAGCTAGAAATTTTCTTTTTCCCGATCATTCTCAAATTGCTTTCAGAGTTGGTGTTAAAGGCTATTTTCTCTAAAATGCTAAAAATTATTTTCCCTCCACCTCTGTGTCCACTTAAAATGGATAAAAACAAGGTTGTATTACTCTAGTGCTGCTCTATTAGAAGGTGAATTAGAGCGTATTTATTTCCATTCATTTTTAAAAATCACTTTAATCTACTTCCACTTATCTTAAATCAAAAATAAGATCTTGGAGATCTGTGTTTAGCTCAGAATTTTCCAGTCCATAATTTTGTTCTTCCGTGATGATACATTTTATACCTCATATTTAATCAAGGGCAAAAAGTTTCTTGCTACAAGTAGAGGAAACTCACACTAACTTATCGACTATCATCACTAAAAGAGAAGAAAGAAAAACCACAACACAAAACCAATCCTTGACCAAAGTACTATGGTGAATTATGTAAGACACTTCGGAGGGAGGAGGAAGGGAGACAGAGGTAGAAAGAATGTTATGGATACACAAAAGAATCTCTTCTTAGTAATAGCTTTGGAATGCGAAAACTTAACTGACCACTATTGCTTGAGAGTAAATAACAGCTTCAAAGGATGTTGTGCAAAGTTTAAGAGGAAATGTAAAAGTTTTTAATTGTATATACTGTCAAGATAATTTAATTTTAAAGAATTTCCAATTAAGCCAAATGATTTCCATGTTATATGTTGCTAAACTGGCCTCTGATTCATAAAATTTCCATTTTCAGTCATTGTTTCTGAGCTGAGGACTGTTTTCCTAGGATTTTTTTTACTATATTCCAATTAATATTTCTTAATGACATTTAGGTATAGAATGTATAGAAATACATGTGTATATGTTTGTGTATGTATATATGTTTAAAACTACCTATTGCATCACTTTTTTTTCTAATCCACTATTCATAATGGGTAAAGATAGACTCTTTCCGTGTGCTAAGTACTTCCAGCCACAAGTTTTGATTTCATCCTTTTTCTCCAGTGAATAATTAACTTTGGCAAAAAGTAATTTCTACTGCTCATCTTTTTACAGCAACCTTACTTTGTTTGTCATTCCAAATATGAGTTAAATGTTTGCCAACTTGAATCAAATAAAAAATCTAAACAAGCATTTTAACCTGCTTTTGCATTAGAAAATAGGTGCCAGGTAAGCCAGAAATACAGACATTCAATTGCGTTTGAAACTGTAGCTAATCAAGCCTGATCTCTCCTAAGCCTCTGGTTGCTTCTGCAGAAAAGAATCCCCAAAGTGGTCAAATATTGAGATAGCTAAGGATAGTTGGGACTCTGGGGCGGGAGGCTGATCGTGCTGGCCTGGAGCCAGTAAAGGAAGTAAGCTTTCATTTCAGCATGTGCGTAAGTGCGTTGCTGGTTGGGAGCCAAAATGTCTTGACCCCACAGTATAAAGCTGTAAAATTTGCAGATTCATGGATAGTAAGGCCAGAGGGGAGCTCTGTAATCATCTATTCTGACCTGTAATGTGTCTCACAGAAGCTAATGAAAGCATGCCGTACCTTCCCTCATTTTAACGTGACAGTGCATGACTTCTTCTGGAAAACGTTCCAGCATTCATCATCACTGCTAGGAAAATATTTCGTATTTTGGAGGCAATTTTGTCTAGTTTCATCTTCCAACCATTACATTTTGTTCCACTTTTCTCTGTAAAACTGGAAAACCATTTGCCTTCCAACAGGCAGAGCTCTTTTATGTGTCTAAGTGCATGAACCCAGTGCTTGGAGTTGCGCCTCTGCCTTTCTTTCAGGCTGCATTTACCTCTTTCAACTTCTCATGATAAAATCTCTTTCCTTTTACTTAAATTTGTAGCTTGCTATTCATGGATGTTGAGCTCCCTAGTGTTTACAAATTCTTATTCTTGAGGGCTGCTGTGGACTGACTGGTTTTGTTTATGTCTCCGAGAAGTGTGAAAAATGCATGTGTTGCCTGCAAAATAGACATGGTTGTTTCTTAAAAGATAATGAAATTTGCAGCTTTGGAGTTCCTACTGCCATTTTGCATCACGCTCTGTTATTTCTAGGTGTACTGCTTATCCAGATGGTCAGCAGCATGTCTAAGGGCATGCCTGTTTTGAAGAAGGGCAGACACATGCTTTTACTTTTTTATCCTGAAAAGTATGAAGTGCAGAGATGCACATGCAGATATCCATGGATAGTATTTTGCTCATTAGAGAGTAGATGGTAGAATGCATGTTACGTTTATCAGTAATTAGGAAGCAGAAAATACTGTGAAACTTTTCACAGTCGTCTTTCCATGGTGTTTGCATTAGATTATGGAAACACTGTTTTCTATCTCCTGATGATAAAAATCTACACAGATACAGACAAAAAAAAAAAGAGGGTAAGGAGGGAGAGGAAGACACTTGATAAGAAGCAGATGTATATCTATGGCTAGCTCCAAGGTGAGTTTTCTGCTTTCAGCTTCAGATTGCAGTTACCAAGGACTTCATAGAAAAAGCCCTGTCTTTTATCATGTAGGGAAGAGCTTCACATGCAGTTCCTGGTACTGTTTATCTGACCTTAGCAAATGAAAAGAAAGGAAGGAAGAGCCTGAGAGAATGATTCATGCTCCATTGGGTTGAACTGACAGGCCTTTCAAAACTTTGGGTGCATTTTGCCTATGTAAACAAGAGCTGCACTGCAACTTAGGTAGAAAGCAGTAGTGCAGTTGACATGTTGACATTCATACGTTTAAAACCCTCCTTGGCTAAGATCAGGAGGGATCAAGAAGAGCAATATAATTCAGTGGAAAAGTAACTAGCTTTTGTTCTTTGAAATGCGTATGATGTTATGTATTTGTGATTGTACATCAGAAGAAAAGGCTTACTTGACTGTTTTTTGGTTTCTAAATTCAGCTGCAGCCTTTTGCCAACTTCTTGCAATATTGTTCTTTCCCTGTCATTTCTCTGGGTCTCCTGTGGAGAGCCATGTTTCTAAAATACATATTGCTGCAGTGGGAATCCTGCTGAAGGAGGGCAGATTAGAGGATACTTTCTGTTCAGCACCTTGTTGAGAAAGAAGAGAAAGTACAGGTTCTTTCATAGCCCTACACTTGTGAAGCTTGCTCCTAAGGCACAGCAGGGATACCCCAGACCTCCAGTTTTAGCTTGCCAAAGAATACTTTGGTCTGTAAATACACTGCTCCGACTTAGTGCCTGATTGCCAAATACTTCTTTCCCCCATTCCCAAATGGAAAAGATTTATCGATCTCAATTTCATAATCTCATATGTTACTGGAGCTTAGCAGGAGAAAAGTACTTTTTTTTTTGTAGCTCAGGATTGCTGTCCTGAAGAAAATTTTTTAGATTTCCTTGTCTCGAGCTTATATATGTAGGATATTTCTGAGTAGCCAGAGTTCACCTTCTGAGATTCACGATCTAATTTGGTGAATGAAATCGAAAACTGCAGATTGAAAGCTACAGTTATTGTGCGTCACTGAAAACTTGGGATACCAATCTCATTATTTGCAAAGCTTTACAACCCGTCACTGTCCGATACTTTTGAAGTACACATGTCTTTTTCGCAGCTGAAGGAGGTCTAAATTTTGAGGACAGAGCTTCTTCATTCTCCAGCAGCTTTAATTCATTCCATTGCCAGAAAAATATCTTTTGTTTCCCACTAGTGCATTTTCCAAGGTAAGTTTCTTCTGATGCATTTGCCAGGAGACAGTTACCACTGGGCTTGATAGCAGGAATTCATAATACCCCTGCCTCTGTCTGCTAAACCATATGCCAGAAAGTTCACTGTGCAAGCTGCCCCTTCTGGGTCCTCCTGCCCAACAAGGTGAGCTTAGGCTCCCCTATTACTTGGTGCCTCTGCAGTTCCTCCAAGTCTCCAAGCATGGGAAGGGCCTTTATGACACTGACAAGTTATTCCTGTTTGATGCACCTTCCGACCTTACCAGACTATTTGAAAACTATTAGACTAAGGAAGAAGAAATGTGTCGCAGCTCATTGCATGTCTTCCAACTTTCTTCTTTTATTACCTTGAGCTCCCGTGAAGCACATGGCCATGAACACTGAGTGGTCAACTCCATCTATTCACCAAGGGAAAGTTGTATTTGACAAACCTGATAGCCTTCTACGATGAGGTGACCGGCTGGATGGACAATGGGAGAGCCATGGATGTTGTCTGCCTTGACTTCAGCAAGGCTTTCAACACAGTCTCCCATAACATCCTCATAGGGAAGCTCAGGAAGTATGGACTGGACGAGTGGACAGTGAGGTGGATTGAGGACTAGCAGAATTGCAGAGCCCAGTGGGTAGTGATAAATGGGGCCGAGTCTAGTTGGAGCCCTGTAGTCAATGATGTCCTGCAAGTGTCAGTACTGGGCCTGGTGCTGTTCAACTTGTTCATCAATGACTTGGATGGGGGCACAGAGTGCACCCTCAGTAAGTTTGCAGATGATAGCAAACTGGAAGGAGTGGCCGACACTCCAGGGGGCTGTGCTGCCATTCAGAGAGACCTAGGCAGGATGGAGAGTTGGAAAGAGAAGAATCTTACGAGATTCAACAAGAACAAGTGCAGGGTCCTGCACCTGGGGAGGAATAACCCCAAACACCAGTACAGATTAGGTGTTGACCTGCTGGAAAGGAGCTCCGTGGAGAGGGACTTGGGAGTCCTGGTTGACAACAAGTTAACCATGAGTCAGCAGTGTGTCCTTGTGGCCAAGAAGATCAATGGGATCCTGGCCTGCATCAGAAGGAGTGTTGCCAGCAGATCAAGGGAGGTGATCCTGCCCCTCTGCTTAGCTCTGGTGATGCTGCACCTGGAGTACTGTGTGCAGTTCTGGGCTCCCCAGTACATTGAGCTTCTAGAGAGGATCCAGCGTAGAGCCACGAATATG